GCTTTGTGGCAGCAGTGGTGGGCAAGGTGCTGGCAAAGTGTAGATTAGGATGGTCTTCTGCTGGTCTCTAACATATATGGGCTAAGTTGTGGTGCAACATGCAAAGCAGATCCATTTATTTGCTTATGGTGTACATTTATACTAATGTAAGTATCGGTGTCATTTGATGAGGTAAAACTTCCTTGCTCTGCAAAGGGTGCAAGACTTTTGGGAAGGTGGGCAGAAACAATTTTGAGTGATAGCCAAGTGCTTGAAATTTGTTTATTGGTACAGTCTGCTTTCACTGGTGGGTACTTGTTCTCCTGCACCTTTAGGAGATTAAATTGGATTCCACTTTTCTAGAGGATGCTTATTCCCTAAGCATAACCGTGTGTACCATGATATGTAAGTATAGAAGGCTGCAGGGGTCCAGTGATCCCTGGTGAAGTGCCCCAAGGGAAAGTATCCATTTGGATTTGGTGGGGGTTTTATGCGTTTTTAAAAGTTCTTATTCCACTTCTTTCTGTCTTCCTAAGCAGGCAAAATCCAAGTAAGTTGCCAGAAATCCTGTATCTTCTCATGTTAGATCAGGTGGGCACTGGAGGAGTTGAGGTGGTTCCTAGTGCTGGGCAAACCCAAAGCAAGAAGAGAGGGAATCTGCACCCAAATCCTTGGAGGCACATTTCTTTCAAAACCGCTGGTGTTCATAGAGAGGGTTTATTGTCCCCTGTGTCTGGCACATGCCTTTCTGTAAGCTGCTTTATTTTCTGTGGCCTTACTGCTCCTGTGAGTGAGCTGGAGTTACTTTTGCAGAGAGGCTGGAAGAAAATGTAGTTGTTCCATAAAGCCAAGAGGAGAGGAATAAAGAGACACAAATTACTTTAGCTCTTATCTATCTTAAGAATAAACAGTTACAATCAGGCTGTGAAGTGGAAATAAAGTTTCCAAACCCCCGAGGAGTTGCATCTGCAATGGCTTTTGCAATAAGATGCTGGGGACATCCCCTTTTTCTGGTGTTAAATGAGTTTGAGAGGTGGTTGTTTGACACAGCAGGGGTTTGACCTGTCATGGCACGAGTGACCTCAGACCACGGCGTCTTTCCCAGGCCTGGCATGGGGAGCAAAGCTCTTGGTTCACACCCAGGCCAGGTTCAGGTTGGAGATGGTCACGGGATGGCTGCTCAGGGGACTCTGTAGGGTGATTATAGCACTTGGTCCACTCTCCAGTTTGCCAGCACCGTGTCACAGAGGCAGCTTTGTTTGGATCCTGGTGCACGTTCCTGTTGGCTGGTGTCTTTGGGTTGAACTTGAATGTAAATTCTTGGCTCTTTCTGGAAGCTTTCCCTTTTGATTCTGGCAAGGGGAGGACAGAGGCACGTTCCCTCTAATGTGCACAGAGAGCTCTAATTTGTGCTTTCAGTCTGGCATCCTTTATGAAGTACTCAGGAAGGGGATGGCTCATAATCAATAGAGCAACTCTTGTTTTCTGCAGTGCTTTCCTTCTGAGGGGGCATTAAGCTGTCTTACTGCTCTTTTCCAGGACTCCTCTCTGGCACTGGCAGGGTTAATAGAAGTGGAGTCTTTCTGATTCTGTGCTGCTCGCTGCTGTGTGTGTGTGTCTTGGAAAAGCCAAACTCTCTGGCAGGCCTGCGTGCTGTGTCCTGGAGAGCAGGCTGGAGCCCTTGGGGTGCACTTGGTGAAGCTGCATTGTGGGGTGGCTTTGGTGAAGATCCCTCTTTCCCTTTGCCCTAGGAATGTGGGTGCCACACACAGTGTCCAGCCTGCCCCTGTCGCTGCATCCAGCAGGGTGATGTGTCCCTGCCTGGCTGGGACAGCTCTGCTGGGAGGCTGCAGTGCTGCCCAGGGCTGTGGGAGCTGCTGGGTTGGGGACAGCAGGAGAGGATGCTCCGTGCAGCTTTCCAGGCTCGCTGCATTCCAGGCAGCCCAGAGGGCTCGAGCGGCGCTGGAAGCGCAGCGTGCTGGGATTCTGTGCGCAGTGGGCACCCTATTCATCCAGAATGGGAAGCAGTCCCTGCCCTGAGCAGCTAAATGGGATCAAAAGCAAGAACAGACTTGGGCAAAACTCAAACCCAGGAGTGTGCCAAGCAGGAGGCTTGGCAGTGTCCCTCCATTATCTTCTGCTGCTGGACTCAGATGCTTGGTCTGAAGTGCTGACGCACATATGTAATTTGCCCCTTCTTTAGCTCTCTGCTGATTTCTCTGAGTATTTCTTCTCAGAGCTGCTCCATCCTCAATCTTGACTAGCTAAACAAGGAGAATTACTGCTGAGTAATACCTGCTTCTTGCTCTGCAGAGTGTAAAACGTTATGTCTGCAGTTCCTCCAGATCCCCTTCGCAGGCAGAATAAAAACCCGGCTTCAGGAGAGGGCACTTTTTGGTGTTGCAGTGCAAAACCTGTGTTAGGCTACAGCTCTGCTGAATTTCTGTCTGTCCCTACTTCCAAATTGTAAATAAATACACCAGAGTGGAGAAACCATAAGCCTTCAGATATGTGTTTTGTGTCTTGGGACAAGCTGACCTAATACTTTGACATGTAACAGTATCTGGTATTGTTCCTTTTTGTTACTAAATTCTTGTCTAATTTTGGAAACCTGGACTTTGGTTGTTAAAACCCGTCACTCCTGAGACACAAGCACAACCATGCAGGGGACTTTTTACCAAGTCATTCACTGCAAGGCTGCAGTGAACTACAGAGGTGCTGGGCACCTTTTCCCTGGGAATGACAGAGCTCAGCACTTCTGCATATCTGGACTTGAGTTCTTCTGCATCTCTGTGTAGGGTGGGGTTGATGTTGTTTAAGGGTGGTGTGAATTGGCTGGGGAGAAACTTCTGTGTTTTGGGAAGAAGAGACACCCAGCCTTCATTTTAACAAAACTTTTCAGGGCAGCTTGCCCTGACGTGGCTTTGTTTTCAAACCTGGTGTTTGCAGGGTTTGTGCTGAAGTCATTGGAAAGATTTAGGATGTCTGTGGAAAGGACATTGCTCTTGTTTTTTATCTGTAGGTGCTGCTCTGTGTTTATAACCAGAGCCTGGACCATGCTTGGAGGGGTGGAGAACATTGCAGTAACTACTTGTACCTCACTTTGCTGTGCTGTTCTTCCCTGGCTGTAGGCACTGGCTCCTTGCTGGCTTGGGGAGAGCTCAGGGCTGGTTTGCCAGCCTGCCTCTGCACAGAGCCTTGGACCAGAAAACATGCAGCAGGGTGGGGAGATGGCTGTTCCCTGAGGATCTTGTGGGAAGAAAGAGGCTGGGAGTCTTGGAAAGCAGACAGCAGTGAAAAGGGGCTGGTTGAAGCAAAAAACTCAAACCTGCTGCACCCCTCAGAATGGATGATCTGAGCTGCCTCTTTATTTCTCACCTGTCTTTGGTGATCAAGAGTTGTTAGTGTTGAGTGTGACAGAAATATAAATTACATTAAAGCAGCAAAAGAGGTCCTGACTCAACAGTGTCTGGGCATGAACACAGATTTACCAGAGCACCCTTAATCTCCATTCAGTTAAAGGTAATCTCTCCTTTAGATTTTTGTTGATGTGTGGCTCTTATCAGAACTGTATCCCTTGGCGGGGGATTGTAGGAGAGCTGTTTGTGTAATCTTTGTTCCTGGCAAAATGAAATAGCTACCAAGAGAGGTCATGGAGATAACACCTACTGGGTGCCTTCACACAGAGTAGATAAGATGGTGTGTTCAGGTCAGTGATGTTCTCTCAGCAGGGACTTGCTTTAGCCACTGAGGCAGTGGCACCTTCAGCCCTCTATTCATAACTCCAATAAGGAATTTGTTTTCAGCACAGAGCACCTTCATGCAGAGATGAGACACAGTGTGATACCAAAAGCTGAAATCATGGATTGAGGCTTCTTTCTTCTTATGTGTTAGATAGTGTAAAAATCAAGGAGGTCTGCAAGGTAATTGGCTCTGCATACTTTCTGTGTATGGTTGTATATTTTAATACTCTCAGACTTGCCTCAGTAAGCTCTAGGCCTGAAATCATTATATTTTACTATTTTTTTAAATTTAAACAGAACTTCTCTTGAAATAATTGAATTCCAGAAACTTGATATTGATAAAAAGCCATGACTGCTATGAAACTGATAAAATTGCGACACATTATAATGTCTGCTTTTGGCCAGCCAGCTCTTTTCCTCAGAGTCTCTATGGAGTGTGCAGTGCAGGGATGCTGGGGTGGGGATCGATCCTGGCACAGCTGGGCACAGACCTGTGCCTTGTCCTGGGCACTGCCCTGCTCAGAGCCTTCCTGCCCAGCAGTGAGGCAAACAGCCAGGCAGGAGCAAGGGCACGCTCGGGCACACTCTCACACGCTCAGGCACACTCACTCACACTCAGGCAGAGGGCAGGATGCAGCATTCAGGAGGACTGAGTTACAAGAAGTGATGCCATCCTCAGACTCCAGGCTGCTGCTCCTGAAGTGAGGAGCTTGGTCCCAGCACCAGATTGAGTGCTGCTGGTGGAGCCAGCAGGAGCAATGTCCAGCCAGTCTCAGACCTCAGAGTGTGTGTCTCCTTGTGTGGCACAAAGCAGCACATTGGGGTGTCTCTGGCCACCTTCAGCCTCCACTGTGTGGTTTGTCCAGGTTTAGACTGGTTTAACCTTCAGCCTCCACTGTGTGGTTTGTCCAGGTTTTGTCAGGCCACCTGATCTGGCACAAAAGAGGCAACCAAATCCTGACCTTTAGGAAATTGGCCCACTCCCTTCCACCCTTTGCTGCCTGTCCCCCCACATTTCTCAGATGCTCCCAGCAGAGCCCCAGCTTGGCCCCAGGCTGCTCTCTCACCTGCTGCTCCCACATTTTGTACTCATCAGGCAGCCTGTGTGCAGTTCAGCAGCAGCCAGTGACATCTTTGTACACACAGCCCTGCCGAGCTGCTTTCTGATGCAGCAGAAGTCTGTAGACAGTGTACTGATAATAGGGTTTCACCTGTTCCCAGTGAAGTGACAACTGACAGGCCATGTTCTGATGAGCCCCTTTCCAGTGGGGCACTTCTCACAGCTCTCCCCATGTGGAAATGGGGATGGTCATACCCACAACAAGTTCTGACTGTGCCAGGTCATTCTCTCCAAACAAGAAGGATTTCTTAAGGATTAACTTTTCTTTCCTCATACCTTTCCAGGCTCCTGCTCTGCAGCACCATGCTGGATCCCAAGCCTCACTCCACAAGCCAGAGGTGAGTCCAGGTGAAAGCCAGCTACCACAGTAGTGTCAGGATGACCAAAGCACGGCTCCTCCGTCTGTCTGTGGTGCTGGTCTCCATCTTCATGATCCTCCTGATCATTGTGTACTGGGACAACGTGGGCACAGCTCACTTCTACCTGCACACATCCTTCTCCAGACCCCACTCCCCAGGCGCCATCGCAGCAGGTGAGGACTGGGAAACTTTGCCAGATGTAGATGAATTTTTAGCAAAGCTGCTGAGCTCAAGTCTGAAACAGAACAGCTCTATCCCCCGAAAGACAGAGCAGCTCCTCGTCCAGGGCTCCAACAAGCCTGTGGTGAGTAACTTGGAGGAGAACGTGCGGGGCTATGACTGGTCTACACACAAGGACAGGACCAGCTTGGACCAAGAGAAGCTCCAGGTAGAGAGGCAGAGAACATTGCGTGAGTTTTGTGCCAATTCCAGCTTCACCTTCCCCACCAAGGAGCGCTCCTTCGATGACATTCCCAACTACGAGCTCAACCACCTGATTGTGGATGACCGCCACGGCGTCATCTACTGCTACGTGCCCAAGGTGGCCTGCACCAACTGGAAGCGTGTGATGATCGTGCTGAGTGAGAGCCTGCTGGACCAGGGGGTGCCCTACAGGAACCCTCTGGATATCCCCCGCGAGCACGTCCACAACACCAGCACCCACCTGACCTTCAACAAGTTCTGGCGCCGCTACGGGAAGTTCTCGCGGCACCTGATGAAGATCAAGCTGAAGAAATACACCAAGTTCCTCTTCGTGCGAGACCCCTTCGTCCGCCTCATCTCCGCTTTCCGCAGCAAGTTCGAGCTGGAGAACGAGGACTTCTACCGGCGTTTCGCCATCCCCATGCTGAAGCTCTACTCCAACCACACCAACCTTCCCACCTCCGTCAGCGAGGCCTTCGGGGCGGGCCTCAAAGTCTCCTTTTCTGACTTCATCCAGTACTTACTGGATCCCAGGACAGAGAAGATGGCCCCATTCAATGAGCACTGGAGGCAGGTTTACCGTCTGTGCCACCCGTGCCAGATAGACTATGATTTCATCGGGAAGCTGGAGACGCTGGATGAGGATGCTGCTTATTTACTGCAGCTCCTCAAAGTGGACAGGCTGCTTCGCTTCCCACCCAGCTACCGAAACAGGACTGCCAGCAGCTGGGAAGATAACTGGTTTGCCAAAATCCCACTGGCTTGGAGGCAGCAGCTCTACAAGCTTTATGAAGCTGATTTTGTACTCTTTGGCTACCCCAAGCCAGAAAACTTGCTTAAAGACTGAGAGTGATTGGGCAGTGGGTGTGGGAGGGAACATCTGAAATACCAAAAATGTTTCAATCCTCCTCGTTTTTGCTCTAAACTCCCTTCCCAATGCAAGTTGGTACAATGGAATATATTTTTTCTACTGCTTCCCCTTCCATTTTTACAATAATGCCAGAGTCCAGGGTATTACAGCCAGCTCTGCATATGCAAAAAATGCCTTTTTTTTTGGATTATCATTTGTTTTCTGTTTTTTAAAATGCCCCCATACTTTGCAATGGGTTGCTGCCCTTGGTCACTCTGCCAATCATGTCCTTCAGTAGCTTTTTATTAATACTTTTTAAAAATTAATATATTTAAGATATTTAAAACAAAGCGTGTGTCATGGCAAAGGAAGGGAAGGAATAAAAAAAAAGTAAAAGAAAACCCCAAGAAATTATGTACCTGCCTCTGTGTGTTGTCTCAGGGCTGCCGTTTCAGAGGTCCAAGGTTTGCAGAGCACTTGGATGGGATGGTGGTGGTGGTGGCTGCTGGTGGTCACTCCAAGATGGGCTTGAGGCAGTGGGATGGGTCAGTGCCTGACTCTGCCTAACAGGCCTGGAAGAACACCCTGAAGGATCTGACTCACACTGCTCACAGGTGTGGAGTGTGACACCAGGGTCACAGGAAGGAAATGGCATTGGGAGCAGTGACAGCAAGTCCTGTGGGGTGTTTTGGGGCATGCAGGTGGCCAACACAGCACCTCTGCACTGCCTGACCTTTTGGCAAAGCACTGTGGGGCTCTGCTGTCCACAAAGCTGAGCTTCAGCCCCTATACCTTGCTAGTGTGGAGCATTCCCATGCCTTGTCCCATTCCAGGAGGGTGGGGATGTTCCTAGGGGTTGTGTCCTCATCATCCCTGTGCACGCTTTAAGGGAACGTGGCAGGGTTGTAAATGCTTATCCCAGGGAGAAGAAGATCCTAAAGGTTTCTTTAAATAAGCAGATGTCAAGGTCAACTCAAAGTTTTTCTGTTTTCAGCATTCCAGCTACTGCTCGTGACACCACATCCTCATCTGCTGCCTTTCTGCTTATTCCAAATGGCTGATGCAGATTTGATCATCTGCCTTGCTGGGACCTGCTGCAGGAGTGATGGTTCCCACTGTGCTGGGAGCATGTGGGCTGCTTCCCAAAGGAAATTAATGCCTTTAGAGACTTTTTGTGTCTCATCAGCTGAATCTGCTTCTCTTTCTCTCTCTGAATTGCTCTGCAAAAACTGTTTGCTTAGCAGATTAGGCAGGCAACTCTTTCAGAGCTGAAATGCCTAATTATTTCCCTGGACTGTAGATGGTATTGGTGATTAAGGTCCAAGGTCAGGCCTTGGGAGACAGCTCTGTGTTTTGGGGAGACTTCTTTGTGTTGGCTTTTTACTCAGTTTCTCTCCAAGGCCATCAGCAGTCGTGATTTTTCCTCTCTCTTTCTCCCCTCACTTCCCCAATTTCTGCACAAGTACATCTGGGCACTCCATGCTCTTTCTAATAAATGTGCTGTATCAAGCTTTATAACCTATAAATGAGAGGTAATTGCTGGTAGTTAGACTCAAAACAAAGGGTTTGTTTCTCCTTGTACTCACACCACTCTCCTGTAATTTGTGCAGAGAAATTTGCAGTTTAAATGAGCCTGAAGCCGTCGTCAGGGTCTTGGTGCTTTGCTCCTCATAGCTTGGGGGAAAAGGAAGTGCCTGCTTCTGAGTCATTATTTAAAACTAATAATAGGAAAGTGTTGATCTATTCAATTTTTTCCCCAGTTAACAGTTAATTGCTGCAAAACAGAGAGATGTGGAGTCTCGTCTCCTGTAATGAGTAATCCCGGGAGTCTCTTGATTCCTGCTACATTTACATTTCTTCAGGGTGGGTTCATCCCTCTCTTCAAAAAACACAGTGTGGATGTTTTCATCTCTTGTCTTTTCAAAGTGTTTATTTTTTCCTCTTTTAATTTCCATGTAATTGATATTTAGTATGTGCAGGCATGGGGGGCTGGGGCCAAAGCACAGATGCTGTGTGAGCTTCCCACCAGCTGCTTCCCCTGCTCTGGTCCTCTCTCTTCCTGCCCTTCTGAGCAGTGCTTGGCTGCTGGATCCCAGTGCCACCCTGCAAACCAGCTGCTGCCTCCCCAGCCACACTTGTCCTGTGATTCCTGGCCACAGCCTGTCCCAGGAACATCTTCTCAAGGTCACTGGCTGGCAGTCATCCAGGCCAGGGGAGGAATGGTTTGCAGTGTGACCATTTTTGGCAGCAAGGTCCTGGTTGTGCAGTGGGCAGACAAGGTGCAAAATGGCTGCAAAAGCTGCCCAGCAGCTGCTCTGTGTGGTGTGAGAGTTTATCCTCTCCATGTGGCTGCCTTGTGATTTAATAGCCATAGAAGAAGAAGGTTTTTCCAAGGCTCCCTTGCTGACACTGGCTAGACAGGAGAGACTTGGAACACACTGATTCCTCTTTCCACATCCAAAGCTGGATGAAGTGAGTGAATTCCAGCTTTATGTGCTAACACCACTCTGCATCACACTGAGGTCCAAAACAGCCCATGTGTGAGGCTGAGCAAGCTGCCTGGCATCCCAATGGCTCCATCAGCCTCCCTGGAACTGCAGGCAGGAGAATGTACAGATGGCATGAGGCCACTGAGGGCCTTGTGTTCCCTACTTTCCCTTTTTCATCTCACCAAGTCCAGCCTTTACTGACATCTTAGACATTTTAGTGCTTGCACAACTGTCCCCAACCAACATGCTGGGAGCTCTTGGCTCTCTCCTCATTTTCCATTGCCATGCTTCAAAGCTCTTCCCGGGAGGAGCAGTAAAACTCGGATGGGGAGTGTTCATGTTGCAGTGGTTGGCTTCTGGATTCAAAATAACTTGTTCCTTGCTGCTCCTCCCTTTTGAAGCTCTTCTTCCCCACCCTGCCACCACTGTGAATGTATTGTTAAGAAGTCAAAGGGGATCCAGGCTGTGCTGAGCTTTGTGGTAAGACCACTGGGTTGCCAGAACTGGGATGTAGCCTCTGGCTTTGGAAATGTGCATTTTTTGTGGGTTTCTTGCTCTGTTCTCATGATGTGAAAGTGTGTATGTGGGGGGGAGAAGGACAAAGAGTTCAACCAGCCATGCTTCCTTCCCCCTGGTTTCGTAAAGGAGTTGGAATTTGGTATTTGACAAATAACGGCAGGCAGAATGCATCCGTGCCGGCCTGAAGTCAGCAGAGGGCTAAAAATCCTGGAATGTAGATGGATATGATGCTCATATCAGTTTCATGAGGGCTGGAAAATGCTTTGAAGCAGGCTATTTGTGTCTGAATAAACCTGGCTTTGTCATTTCATGCTCAGTCTGCAAAGTTGTGTCCTGTTCCCCTTCTGGCTTGCTTTTCCCTGGGGTTGACCGCTTGGCCAAAGACAGCACGGAGTCTCTAACGAGGCAGAACTGATGTGCAGATGCAAAAATAACCTGGGGTTTGACCAAGATGTTTCCAGCTGGGTAGAACTGAAACCATCTTTAGTGCTTGCTCAGCATCAGAGCCAAAGTCTTTACACAACCATTGAACAGATTTGGTCCCTCGCTGTTTGATGCTGGATTCTCTGGTGGAGGGGGATGCATGTGACCTGGCTTTGCAGCCCCTGTGTCCTCCAGGAAAGGGCTGTCAGGTCAGAACTCCTTGTTTTTTGGGCAGTGACATGACTGTCAGGGTAGGAGCATCTTTAACACATGGGTACCTTTGCATCTCAGTATTTTTTTGCCTTAACCCTTTAATTTGCTTGTGGAGACAAAATTATGGACTCATCACCCACGGACAACATTCACCCCGGGACAACATGCGAGATGTTTTGGCTGTGTGTTTTGCATCCTTCAAGGTGGCACTGGAAGGATGGAGGGCAGGGGATGAATGGCAGCATTGAAAGGGTGGTGAAGAAAAGCCAGTTTGTTCCCTCTTACGTAAGCTGGACCTCGGAGCGCCCGCGGGGCAGAGCCGGTGACTTGGCAGGGTGCTGCTGCAGGGCTGTGGTGCACAGCGGTGCCAGCGAGGGTGTGGGGTGTGGTGCCTCAAAAGAAACTCGTGTTGCTTGAATTTAAGGGCTTGCCCACGCTGGTCTTGCTCATAAACCCTCTAGTCAAGGGTAGGAGGGATAAATACAGCAAAAGTTAATAAAGCCATTGATACCTGGCTGCTTGGGAAAGAGATGGGGAGGATGAGTGGCTCTGGAGCTGGCACAGTGCATCTCTGCTCTATCCTTGATTCAATCAAATTGGGGATCCAGCTCAGACTGTGTAGCTGAGGTCTGTCCATGCAGGAGCTGGGGAGCATTTGCCCTGGGGGCTGTGGCAGAGTGCCATGCTGTGCTGGGAGTGGTGTGGAAGAGCCCTGGGCTGGGTGGGAGGGATGCTGGAGAGCTCTGTGCTGGGATAGGAGCGATGCTCGGCAGCCGGCGGGGTTGGCCTCCTCTCCTCTCCTCTCCTCTCCTCTCCTCTCCTCTCCTCTCCTCTCCTCTCCGATTTTAAAAAGAACAGAATCATAGTCACCCTCTTCCTGAGCTGGAAGAGACCTGCAAGGATCATCGAGTCCAACTCTTAGCCCTGCCCAGGACATCCCCAAGGGTCACACCATAGGTGCTAATGGAGAATGCTGCAGTAATTTTAGCAGACTGCCCCAGAGGGGAAGCAAGGCAAGCAAATGTGGCTGTTGATCAGTCTTTTCTCACTGTTTATTCTTTAGGACTATTGCCTTTTATATCTGGTTTTTCAGGTATTTGTGTCCTTGCCAGCTGGGCTGTGAGCTCTGGACCTGTTCCATTGCATTTGGAGAGAGACAGTGACCCCCAGGCTGGGGTGGGATGCAGGGCAGCAGGAATTTCCATTGCAGGGAATGATGTGACCCAGAGATTCATGTAATGGATTATGTTTTCCTCCTCAAACCATGAGACAGAGCCAAAGAGCATGTATCAAATTATCAGGGATGCTAATTGTAGCTGTGAGAGCCCTTTGGTGAGTTCCTCCTGTTTGTCCTTCATAAATGGGAGTGGTAGACACCTGTGTTCTGGGGAGCTCCTGTGTCCAAAGGAGGTCTGGGGAGGATCAGTGATCTGGGTGAGAGTGCTGGCAGTGAAAGCCATGCAGAACTGCCTCAATCCAGGCAGGTTCTACCATGGGGTTGATCTGGAAGCTGTTGGCATGAGAGCTATGTTGATCCAAGGAGCGCATATGCTTTGGACAGCTCAAGGGCTCATACGGGTCTGTGAGCAAAACTCTGCCACAGAAATGCAGAGGTCCCAGCTCACCATCCTGCTCTGCCCCTGGCTGCCTTCCAGAGGAAGAGGAAGCACAGAGAGTACCATCAATCTGAGCAAAATGTCTTTCTTCATCTGGGGAAATGCTGGGCATTCTTGAGCGCAGTGTGCTCAGCCAGCTGGGATGCCATTAGCAGGGCTGGCACTTCTCACCTGATGAGGGGGTTTGTAATTTTGTCTCAGATTCTCATCCTCAGACTGTGCCAGCATCAAAATACTCCCAGTCTGGCCCAGACCATGTGTTCAACAAATGAGGGAGAATTTTCCTGACCCACCAAGCAGTGCCTTCATGAATTCCATGTTTTATCCCCCGGGCAGATGGATCACACACAGCTTTGGCAAAGGCACATTTTGTGGCAGAGAAGCTGCAGTTTCAGTGTTTATTTCTCTGTCATTGTAGGAATTCAAAATGGATGGAACAAAATGCCATTGGGATTGACTCTTGTTTTGTTTGGACACTACACAGGTCTCTGTGGAAAACATGGGAGGAGTGCAGGGGACAGAGAAGAGCCAAGAAGATGTGTTAAAAAGGCAGTGGTGGCCAAAAGAGTGGCCAGCAGGGAGTGGAGCTGGGCTGGGGATGTGTTTCTGAAGGATAAAAAGGGTGGGGGGAGTGGAGGGCATCTCTAAACAGAATGGGGGTTCTGTGCAGTGGGCAAATGCTGAGAAAACAGGGGCTGCTGAGAAACCAGGTGCCATCTGCTGCATGGAGACCTGTCCTGTCTGCTCCTCCAGGGGCTGAAATAGAGGAGGAAAGAAACAATTGAAAAATCAGCTAGTGAAAGCTTAACATAATGCAGCAGGCAAAATCCAAGAGGTTCTGATACAGGATGAGGGGACAGATTATCTGAAATTCTGCTGGGCATTGTGCACTTGGACCAAACATTTAGAGCAAACTAAGAGGAGTGGTGGCCTAGGGTTCACCTGTGCTGGGGGAGAAAGGCTTGCAGCTCTGCCAGCTGTCACTCTCTGCAAGCAGGGCCATGTCCATGGGGGGTGGAAGTGCTGGAGAGATGGTGCCACTGACCTTTCACATGTTATTGGACACTTCTGTCTGTCTCCAGTTTTTCTTTCCCTCAACCTTTGCGTGCTTTATTGATTTCTGACTCTGTATATTTTGTGTCTTGGGTAAATCCGAAGTATTTGTCACCTAGAATGATCATGCTGAGAGGATAAAGCTTTTTACAAAGCCTTTGGTGACCTTTAGCTAATGATAAATCAGTGAACTGAGTTTGTATAAGCATTTCTCAAGTGCTGGGTGTTGCTGCGCACAGTGGGGAACCCCCCTTGGCATGACACAGCTACCCAGTAGCAGGCTGGGCATGCATGAATTCCGAATAAAGGTTCTTGCTGCAGGTCAGGATGACCTAGATTTGTGTTCCTTGATTATCTTCCCTTGTATTTTAAATATTGTGGATGTTAAGTCAGGTGTCAGAACCAATCCACAGCTCAGGGCAGGTGAACACCTGTGAAACATTTATAGGAACACATTTCTGATGGAGTGAAATATAATCAAGTGATGGCTTTCAGTTTTCTACCAGCAGAGGATCATTTTTATGGTCACAATTACCACATTGCAATGGATTGTGGATTCTAGGACATTTCTCTTGACTAACCCAGTTTTTGTTAGCCTTCCTGAGCAAACCCTGTTGTGTCCTGGGATGGTTTGTGCTGTGCAGCCACCAGGGTGCTGTGGGTGTGGGACAATCCAGCTCTGCTGGTGGCTGTGGGTGTCCCTCTGTCTGTCCATCCCTGATCCTGTGTGCTTTGTCCCTTTTCCAGCTCCCCTGAGCATCCAGAGGGTGAACCCAGGCACGGCTGCACCCTCCAGTGTGCCCTGCATGGATCCAGGCCCTGGTTAGTGGGGCTGGGAGTCAATCCCAAAATGATGGAATCATGTTGGGTATGTTGGGTTTCCCTCTTCTTCTTTAGATGCCTCAAATCTGAGCTTCCTGGATTTCTTGGATTCTCAAAAATAGCACCAGGTGTCCTTTGAAGCCCTGCCAGGTGCAACAGGAGAGCAAGTACAGCCTATGGTGGGCAGTAAAATGTGTGGTGTTACTCCACAGATACTCCCAGTGAGTACAGCCTATGGTGGCAGTAAAATTTGTGGTGTTATTCCATGGATACTCCCAGACAGAAGCAATTCTTGGATTGATTTTGCATCACACACACAGATTTTCCTGAGGAAATTGAGGGTTCTGGGAGCAGCCTGGAAACAAAAGCTCTTTGTAAGACCAAGACAAACTGTGTTTCTCTTCCACCACAGCACCAGGTAGGGGCAGAGCAGCAGGATGAAGCTGCTGTGTGCTGAGGGCCCTTCATGTACCAAAATTGGGTCATGCTGGGACCAGACCCTCAGCACAGTTGTGGCTCCAGGCTACAGCAAAGTTTTTGGAAGCAAACTTATTTAAAAGAAGAATCAAACTTGTTTAAAAGAAGAAGCAAAGCATCTTTCATCAGCAAGTGAGAATGTGAATTCAAGATGTCAGGGCAGGTTCCAGATGCTGTTGCACTTTGCATTTATTACATTTTTTAGAGCTTAGCAAAAGGTCAGTGTGCTTGGGCACAGTTCCTGGCTTTCGGAAAGTCTACAGGTTTGGGATCTGTGCTTTTCACTGTATTTTCAATAAGAAAACTGCCTGCTTGCAAAGTTTGCCTTCGGAATTGAAACACCAGTGAAAATTTAGCTCTCATAATTTTAGGCTAAAAAGACAATGAGGGACAAGTTTTTTGGGGGTGGAGTGGGTTTTGTGTTATTTTTTCTCTTTGTTTTTTCCTCCAATATTCAGGAATAAGCTTTCAGTATACATTAGGCTGCTGCTGGAAGTGTTAGCTGGGGTTTTTTTTTGGCCATGTCGATTGGAAGGAAATTTCCAATACAGCTTCGTTGCCAGAAATGGATTCTTTGCTGGAATATTTTTGCTAAAATATTCCAACTTGCTCCTTGCAGGGATGCCACTTAGTGCAGGAACACACAGCAATTGGCTGCCTTGCTCTCAGCTCTGAGTTTGATCTTTTCTTTATTTTTGTTGGGGTT